CTTAATTTGTTTATACATATATATGTGTATATATATCATATATTTTTTGTTTTATATATATATATATATATATATATCCGTATGCACTGTCTGCATGTAATCTAATTATACTAAAGCCTTTATTCACCATTTAAAGGTGTGACTACAGATAAAATGGTTTATGCATGCATTGTTTTGTGTGTTTGAGATGTTTTTTACGTGACTAATAAGTGATTTACTGTATGTCGATAAATTTTTTTGATAGATCCTCTAATCTCTGATCCAGTCCTGCATCTTTCTCTGGACGATCACGGCATCAATTACTCCCTTATTATCTGATTTTCTCCCAAAAAAGTGTGCCGGCACCATGTAAGCAGAACATCTGATCCAGTCCTGCATCTTTCTCTGGACGATCACGGCATCAATCACTCCCTTATTATCTGATTTTCTCCCAAAAAAGTGTGCCGGCACCATGTAAGCAGAACATTTATGACCCGTTTCACATCACTAATGCTAAATGAACGCCTGTAAATTGATCTACAGTTGTAAAAAGATTATGAATATGGATTTTATTTTCATTATACTAGACTTTCCAAAGCCTAGATTCAAGATTAAAGATTATATATGTTAAAAACACACATTTGCACATTTTTTTTTTTAAATATATGGAATTGGAAAGTGTGATATTATGATACTAAAATCCATATTGATAATCTTGTTGATGCTGTAATCAATCCATGTTTATGTATCAGTGTTATTTTAGTATCATTTAGATACTGTTATGGTTTTTAATAATATTTTTAATTCATTTTTATTTTCATTTATTTCATTTTAGTTAGTTTTAGCAATTTTGTTGTGAGTTTTTCCATTTTTGATTGTTCTTGTTTTTATTTATTTATTTTTTTACAAAATGTCTATATAGTTTTTATTCATTTTTCAGTTTAAGTTATTTTAGAACATAAAAATTAAATTAAATGAAAATGAGAATTAGCGGGATTTTTTTAAAACGTTTTTTTAATTATGTTTGTTTTCAGTTGACATTTATTTAATTTGAAGTTAAAAATAACTAATGGTTTTAGTTTTAATTATAGCTGTAATTACCCTGTTATGTAAGTATGCATTATAGTTAAGCAATTATGATGCAATTAGAGTAAAATTTACATTGTGGAGAACTACCTTGAGGAAAACAGGGAAAAATAATATCCAAAATTCCCAAAATGTTTGTTTGATCAGTAGGTGGGGTTCAGATAGCGCAAATATAATGAGCTTAATATAAAAGCAATAGAAGCGAATGGTAAATTCCCACTATGATATAAAAACAGACTGTGTGTGTGTGTGTTGTATTGTGTTCTCGGTACAGTTACGTGACTAATTGGCCACTTACTCTCCGCCGATAGATTATCTGACCGGGTCTTGTGGCCCCCGCGGCCCCCATCCATGAGTCTGTCTCTGGACGAGCTCGGCATCGATCACACATAATCCGATTTCCCCCCAAAAACAAATAATGAAGCGTTTCTGGAGCTTACCCTTTTAAGTAATTTAGCGATTCGTTCAAACTTGTGCGAATCGATGAAGTGGGTTTTGAAAGATGAGTCTAATGAATTCCCATGATGCTCTAATTTCGCCCTAATGCATCTCAGCGAAATTAAAACGCACATTTGTGACGCTCAGATAAGCAGGATGGAGATTTTATCTGAATTGGAGCGTTTGGAGATGATGTAGTTATTTTGGACTCATCACACTAACTGCTCTAATTAGGTTTTCGATCATTTTATTTAGTCTCAGCTGAGACTCCCAGACTCTGCCGAGACTTTGGGCCCTGCTTCGTTTTTACATCGTAATTAATATTTTTATCCAATCAAAACAGTTCAAAGAGCTTCCTGAAACATACTGAGTTCATTTATTTTTGTATCTTACAGGTAATTATAACAGCGGCACATTTGCATTTATATAGAAGTCTTAAAGACACAGTAGCAAAATCAGCTAATTTATTCATGGCATGACTTTATTTTCATCCGAAGAACACAAAAGAAAGATATTTTGAAGAACGTTGGTGGTCCAAACAACATTGGGTCTCATTGACTTTCATTGGATGAACAGAAAATGAGCAGAGATTTATAATATCTTTGGGTGAACTGTCCCTTTAATTCTAAGAGAGAGGAAAATGGTCATGGAAAATGTAATTACTAAACTGAGTTTCTGTATTTGGGGCAAAAAAGCTTGACAAATTTAATTGATTTATGCAATTAAATGCTGCATAAATCAAGGCCATAACAAAGTAAATAATAAAATAAAAAAATGTAATTAAATAATTATTAAATTTAAATATTAAATTTAAATATCAAATAAAATAATTATAAAATGAAATACAATTTTTTAGGCTAGTCTGCCTCGTCACTCATCAATGTCAATATTATTTCAACAGCCAATCAAATCAAAGAAGGCGGAGCTTAGTTTTAACGTGTTAGTTTTAATGGGGAAAGTGTGCAAGGTGAGATGTAAGGCAGCTAAACATTTAATATCTGACTGTTTTACGACAGAAGTGTTAAAAGACCGAAATGTAATATTCAGTGATGCAACATCACAACAACATTTTTTTGGTAATTTTAAAGGAATATTTCACCCAAAGATGAGAATCTGCTGAAAATGTCCTCACCCTCAGGCCATCCGAGATTAGGATGAGTGTGTTTCTTCTTGAAAATATCCGAATCTACTCATGCATCTTGCTTTTCTTTCTTATTCTATTAATTCTCCTCCTCCTCTAGCGCTCTTAAAGCTGTCGTGTGGTAAAAACACCTTCAGGAGTGTTTTATGGAGTCTGATTAAATGCAGGCAGCCGATTGAACACAGACTAATTTTCTCTCTCTCTCTCTCTCTCTCTCTGCAGGATGCCGTTGGTCTTCACACTTCTCTGCCTGTGCGTTTTAAAGATGGGTGGCTTCTCCACATCTGTCACTCAAGCCACCGTCCAATCAGGTGAGAGTTGAGTCTGATTAAGCAGCTGTGATTGGTCAGTCTGTGGCTGGTGAAGTATGAATCCTCTATTGCTCTCTTCCCTGAGACTGTATCCATCCTCCTAATCTATCAGCAACCAATCAGATCTCACATTTGAATAATTGATCGGATGAGGAGCCTCACATTAGATCTTCCCACCAATCAGCAGGAGTGTCTCCAGAGGTCTGTGTGAACGAGTTTAAATCACAGAATCTACATCTACATCTTCAGAAATAGTGCTGAATGATGCAAACAAAATAAGTAAATAAATAAATAAATAAATGAGAATGAGTGAATGAATCTGGGCTGATGGAAATTAGTGTGTTTTCCAGTGCATTTTTAAGCTTTGATTATCTTGTTTTGGATGTTTGTTTGTTTTTGCATATATGAAAGATGCAGAACAAGATTGTGGTCAGACGTTTTATTTTCAGTACTTTATGAATTATGTTAGTTTATTTAATTGCTGTTTGCTCAGCACCAGGATTTTTATCGATAACTAAAACTAAAATCATAATATTTTGTTACTTAAAACAAAATAAACAAAAAGAAATAAAATAATAAATAACTTAAACATATTTTATTCCATATAGTTTCCAAGGCAATATTTCTCATTTTTATTTAGTTTAACTTGAAGTACTAAAATATCTAAAACTAAATCAATAAAAATTAACAAAAATTATAAAGACATATTAAGAAAATTAAAATGAGAAAAAAACATGCAACAAAATTACTAAAATTAAAAAATTAAAGTGAAATCTAAATATAGACATAAAAATAAATGCAAAATATTAATAAAAATTATAATAGTATATCACTGATACCAAAATAATATTTGAATTTAACATGTTAATATAGATAACAACATGATGCATGCAGTATTATTTTAGTATTATTAATATACTAGTATTTATTAATATTTTGAATTAGCTTTTATTTTTATGTTTTCAATTTTCATTTAAATTTTTGTTTAAGTTTTAGTAATTTTGTTATTTTTATTTCAGTTTTAATAATTTTAGTACTTTAAATTTCAGTTCTAAATGTAGTTTTTTTTAAGTTTATCATCTATTTATATTTTACTTTATTTAAGCTTTATTTCAATTACTGAAAATGATTTTTAATAGTTTTAGTTAACAATAACAACACTAGATGCATGTTGCATATTAACATAATACACACCTGACGTCATAAATGAAAGGAAATGCCTTTGTTATTGCAATTCTTGCATGATTTCCTCATTAAAAATAAAACCAACTCAAACAATCAAGTGAAAAGTTCCTCCGAAACTGGATTTCGTGACTTTTTACGAAATCCCTTTAAACAACATTACACAAAGACTTTTGTGCAATCTTACAAAATGAGGTTAAACATCCAAAAATGTGTGTGTGTGTGTGTGCGTGTGTGTGTGTGTGTGTGTGTTTTATGCAGTGTCAGTTTGATTTGGGATGGTAATTTATTTAAATAGACTTTTTGACGTTAGCAGGATCGGCATTTACACTCAAACAGATCACCTTATCTTTCATTTTTATTTTTATATTTTCAGTTTTTTATTCTTATTTTAATTTATTTTAGTTTTAGTAATTTTGTAGTGTTCTTATGTCATTTTTACTTTTTGATTTTTTATATTATTATTATTATAAAGCTATTATATAGCTTTATATGACTTATATTCTTTCTTTCTTTATATATTTTATATTATATTTCTTTATTTCAGTTTTAGTAATTTTAATATTTAAAAAATGTATTATTTTATTTTATTAGTTTTTTTCATTAAATATTTCTATATAGCTTTCATTTATTTTTTATTTCAGTTTTAGTCATTTTAGTACAGTAGTTCTGACATCAGCATTTCATTTGGGATGGTAATTTATTTAAATAGACTTTTTGACATTTAGCAGGTTCAGCATTTAAACAAATCTTTCATTAATATACTGAATAGCGTTTTCATACTGTAAGTGTATTTCTGTTTGCATGGTGAGTGTGTGTGTGTGTGTGTGTGTGTGTGAGAGAGAGAGAGAGAGAGAGAGAGA